TCTAGCAGATGTTTATGTAGGTGAAAATAACAAAAAAAAATGATCTGAAGTTACGTATAACTCCATCTTACATGTGATTAGTTGTTTTAGAGTTTTACTGAGTTGTCGGATAAGTCTTTCAGAGTTTTATTATAGATTGGATTTCCAGCCCCACAGCTGCCTTGTAAATTGAAGGATGATTATACTTTGTTTTGTTCAAAATGTTCCTAAGAATTACTCACCATTTCAGAATGTCACTGATACAACATTAACCTAGTATTTGATTCCCGATGTAGCGCACCTCTGTCAGTGTGTGGCATTCACTCTGCTTATTTGTACAATCATCCACACACTTTGCTGTGCCTTCTAGTGAAGCTATGGCCAAGCACTAATATATTGAGATGCATATGCTGTTAGAATAATTTACTTTCCTTTCATTGGTTTAGATTCCAAGGAGGGCATTATATTGATTTTTTAAGAAGTATCAGTGGCTGGATAGATGACATTATCAATGGATTTCATTTATTTTATTTTATTTATTTTAATTTGTTAGTGGCAGTAGTGGGACTGATGTGAGTGGGAACTACTGGGATAAGCAAAGGCCCTGGGGCAGGTGTCAGTCAGAGATATGGAACTTGGACAGTTGTTAGAGGTTGGCTGTTGGCTGCTCTCTACAAGGAAAGTATTTGTTAAATGGGCACAAACTGTCACCTGAGGAATTTAATGTAGTCTTAGCTTGCCAAGCTCTGGTTTATGGATGTAAGATATTGACAATTCTCTTTAAACTTTTATATACAAGGTAGAAGTTAATATCTTTCTAATGGAGAGCAGTCACTACACCGAAACCAGCAGTTCAGATTTATGTCCAGACCCCTTCACATACTCACACACTTCTGGAGTTAAGCTCACTTGCTAACACAAGAGTGTTTATTCCTTGACCCCTTCCTCCCACAGATGAGAGTGACATTATTAGAGAGAGAGACAAGAATTCGAAGTGAGGTATATGTTAAAAACTTACTCTTTCATATAGATACATTGGATACATTGTTATTCATAATTAGTATTTATGGCCCACAAACAATGTGAGGATTTCATAAGTGATTTTTCTATTCTAGGTTGCAAACTACTGGCAGACAGAGAGTCACATTTGAATATCTTTGTGCCTCTGGTAACTAAAACAGAGTCTGGCATAGAATAAGAATGCAATACATCTTCAATAAATGAATGAACCTTTATGTGCAGGGCTGATGAATTTGGGAAAGTAAGCTGAGTTCTAGGTTCCACTTCCAGTTCTGTCACTTAAGTGAGTTTTGAACTCGGATAAGTGACTTGAAATCTTGGCTTTTGGGTCGTCCAAAAGCTGAGATTAATAATATATGTCCAGATTATGTATAACATTGTTTTTAAGATTGCAAGAGAGAAGACAGATAAAACCATTTGAAATTCTCATAGTGCTATTCAAATGCAAGGTTTAATAATTTCTACAAGAAGTGTAAAATTGGATTTGGGTTTATTCAGAGAAGGAGTATAGTAGGTTGAATACTGTTCCCCCAAAATTCATATCCACCTGGAATCTCAGAGTATAACCTTATTTAGACATATGTTTAGACATATTTAGACATATGTTTTTTGTAGATGTAATTAATTAAGATGGGTCATACTGGATTAGGCTGGATCTGAAATTCGATGACTGGTATCCTCATCAGAAAAGGAGAGGACACACAGGGGGACAGAGAAGATGGCCACGTGCTGACAGAGGCAGAGATGGCACGATGCAGCTACGGGCCAGGGAATGTCGCGAACTGCCAGGAGCCACCAGGAGCTACCCGAAGTTAGGCAGAGACAAGAAAGGCTTCTTTCTTAGGGCCTAGAGAAAGAGCAAGGTCCTGCTGACAACTTAATTTTGGACTTCTGGATTCCAAAACTGTGAGAGAATAAATTTCTGTTGTTCAAAGTCACTCAGTTTGCAGCACTTTGTTGTGGCAGCCCTGGGAAACTGATACAAGGGGTCCCATTTTTTCCTTTTATGAAAAAAGGGACAGGATCAGAGGTGAAATAATGCTTTTGGAAATTCACCTGGTGTCCTGGCATCATTACCACTGGCCAGACCTTCTTTATGGAAAGAGAAGCAGCTAACATAAGGTTTGACAGCTGTGGCTTTTGAGACAAACATAGGTAGGATCTAGGTTCCACCACGGGCAGCACTCTGAGAGGTTAGGCATACTCCACTTCCCACCTGTGAACTCCAGATGATAATAGCTGTATCTAGCCCATTGATGACTTGAAGATTCAATGGCATAATATATGTAGCTTAACTGTATGGATATTTGAAACTTGGAATAACCCCTTCTAAAAGTGACTGATTATAACCATAGATGAGGTAACTCGTGGCAACCATAGTCCAATTCCTGATAGCTCTACTTTATAGGACTATGAGCCAAGAACTTAAAAAAGGAAAATAAAAAGGAATTTTCCGTTTTGATTCGGGACTCTTGATCACCTCTTTGGCAGAGCATCTGAATTTGCCTTTGTTATGATGACCATAACTAACACTGGTCAATTAACTGCACTTGGCTGACTTGCATTCTAATTGTAGATGTCTTTTATATTTTTCAAAGTAACTGCAATTTTTTGCAACTATTTAGTAAGAAC